CTTTTGATAATTCGTTTTTATTTTCATTAAAAACTGTTTTATAATTAGTTGGTCCATTGATAAGTTCTTCAAGCAGTAAACTATCTTTGAACACCCAGATGATACTAGACTCATACATAATTCATTTAAAACCAGAAGAACATTTGGTCAACTTGGCAATTGTGATAATAAAGTTTACAACTTCTTAATTTATCAAGCTAAATTTTTACACCAACTTGATAAATGAGACTTATATTCCATTCTTTAACCAGAGAGGAGGTATGTAGAGCAGAGGTCCTGCGAAGGTAGAACTAACTTTTGATGATAAAAATTGAACGGAGATCTAATATATATAAAAAATGTTACACATTACATAACAAAGGATAAAACGTTTTTTGAATTAACTACATAAACATACAAAATCATATCCAACAAACATACCAGTTGCTCTGATCACAAATTAAAATAGTTAGCTATACATTTGATGCTAGACTTTTATTCCATTCTTTAACCTGAGCAAAGGCATTGCATAGATATAATAAACTTCTGAAAATAGGAACAGAATGGGCATCTACCTAATATATAAAATCATTGTAATAAAAAATTATTATTATTTTGAACAAACATTACAGGCATTAAAACAGAATAGAATTCTCTTATTTGTAAATTAAGGATCTTATATAATTTATCTTAGATGTAAAAAGTTTAATTTTTTTTTAACTTTTAAAACATTTAAACTAAATTTGATGACCACAAACAAGACAAAGACCTTGTCTATAAAATGAATTTTCGCCACGCTCTGAACACACAACACACTTTCTCACCTTAGAGGCTTGAAGCTTTCTATCAGCTTTGCTGTGCAATTCAAAGCGTTTTAAAACAAGATGCAGCTTTTGCTCCTGATTTCTAACTGAATGCAACTGCCTTAATTCCTTATTTACGCTATTATGCAAACACTCTCCCTCCTCTTCACTCAGCAACCCAATAGTTTTATGCAATTTTACAAATAGTGGCACATTGAAAATGAGTTCATGCATTTTTCGCGTGATACTTTCTTTTGGAAAGCAAGCATGAAACTCAATAGCAAATAAATTTATATATTGATGAAGCTCAGAAATTTCGGCATCAGAAAGAAATTTTCGCTTAAAAAGAATAGGTTGCAAGTTATTAAAAACACTAAACACACGTACAAATCTATTTTTAATTGCTTCATCATCAATAACACTACAAAGTTTATAGTGGTTTCTTAATACTATTTTACAATGATTACCTACAAATACATTACCATGGTAAGCTTGTCGCTCAACTTTCATATCTTCAAGGGCCTTATAAAGAGACCTCTCATGAGTCCCCATGCTACTTATAGATATTTTTTCTAGGTCTTCACACTCTATCTGCAATCGAATATACTCAACGTCTAAAACTTCGCGGTGTGCGCGTATAAAAGAAATTTTTTCAGAAATATAAAGGTCAAGTTATTCTAAATCTTCACCCTGACATGTTAAACAATCATACTTCTCTATATCGCACAATACATTCTTTTCTGAACCACCAATAATTTCACAAAATTGATGGAACAATTTTTGGCACGTACCACACTGCACCCAATCAATGTTACAATCATATTTAGTAATTAAACACCTGATACTAGCACACTTTTCTTGCTGTTTACAGGTTTTTTTTTATTGGAGGAGTTTAGAGATATGCATTCCAATTCAGAAATATTTTTATCAAAAGCTAACCAACGAGTCTGTAGATTTGCAACGCCTACAAATTGATTTCCTAATAAACGTAAAGAGTCTGCTGTTTTAGAACATTCAAAGCTTTTAGCAGCCCACAATTCATTCGTTCTCACATTCTCATTATGCGACAAAGACGAAACTGCTTGACAATCCAAAGTCTTACACTCCTTCAACAATAACTTATAAAGTTTTAACACAACTCCTAACATAATATGCAAAACAGGTGGCACTACATTATCTAAAGTTATTATGGGGAAAATCACAGGAGCAATAATTGAATTATGAAACTTACCTAGAGCTCTTAGGTTTCCACCTTGTCTATCTTCACACAAGTTCTCATTGTAAGCACTTTCCAGAGATTGTATTGTCCTCCTTAAGATGTTACAATTAGCAGGTGTGTGAGGCATAGAAGCATGGTTTCTTAGAGAATTCAACTTAACTAGGTCTGTAGAACTAGGAAAGCTAGCAGCTGAACCCTGGTGTCCCAGAACATCATCGATAAAATGAAAATCTCCACCTAAGAACAACCTGACTATTTTGCCTTTTAGCTTAAAATCTGACGACTGAAATCTTTTAATGTCGTTGGCATAATGCCCGAGAACTAAGGCAATATTCTCACGACAGTCTGAACCCTGATACATACAAAATAAATGAACATCATATACAGACCCTGATGATTTAGAATTGACAACTTCAAAATGGAATTTCATATACTTCCCACCCTTATCCCCAGCAAAAAGGAGCCATACCTCTTCGCAAAAACCGACATCAGAATTGAAGTGGTCACGAACGTGCAGACTATAGAAAACCTCTTCAATATAAGTTATCAAATTCTTGACCATCAATACAGGTACTAAACAAGGTGCTTCATTCGCAGATGGATAAAGCAACATGGACTTTACAGTAACATGTTCTTTACTAACATGCATTGTCCGCATTTCTTGTTCTTGTCTTATCTTGGGCTCAGATGGGAGAATCCTTGCACCAAGATTACACAGAATACGTCTTAGCCTACGGAATTCAGCTGTGGGCATCCTTAATTGGCTCTGCAGCTCTACAGCATCAGAAACACTTAACTGCCTAACTAAACCCAACTTATTTGCAACACAATGAAACATAGACTTTTCACAAGACACAGAATCACAAAACAACATAGACAAATCACTTTCCAAATCTGAACAAGCTAATAATCGAAGGAATATAAAAGCAAGTTTAGATTGTCTAATTGCAGCATGCCTACCTAACTTAGAATAAGATTTACCATTTCCTAACTTAATGTAAGTATATTTCTTACCAACTATTGGCTTTTTAACTGATATAGTCTGTGGATTACTTAATTTAAACCCACAGAATAATTCAGAGGAACCAATGTTGTCATAGTCTAAATAAGAATCAACGACAACTAAATCCTTATCACTGCTAGCAAAATATTTGCAAATTTGGCAACTGTTCTTGTTTATATCACTGATTTTTGCATTTTTTTTTTCAAATTTAAATTTTTTTAGCAATCTTACATTTTTGGCACGAGCAGATGCAAATTTACGGTGTGCTGTTTTTAATTTTTTTTTTTTTTAAAAGTTGGAACTGCTCCTCCTGTTTTAGCCTAATACTCATAGTCTCTAATTGAGAACTTAATGAGTTACAATGTGCGTTGAGAGCCTTGTTTTTAGAATTTAAATATATAACTTCAGTTTCCAACTTTGATACCTGTATTTTTAAATTATCTATTTGCTCCACATTATTTTTTTCTTTAGAAATTAATTGTTCAACTTGACTACTTAGTTCCTTATTCCTATTTAAAATATAAAAATTATCTGCATCTGCTGATTTTTTTTGTTTTTTTGTTTGTGGAGCTGGAGACAGTTGCATTTTAAAAAATGCTTCGTTTTTTGAAGCTTCAAAATACTTTTTAGAATCTTTTTTTCTTTGTTTTATTTTTCGGCATATTTAACACATCAATATTAGGCATATTAAACTCAATTGGCAAACGAAAACTTAAAAAAGTAAACAACGCTTTTGGATAAAAAACTGTTAATAAAATTGAAATCACATTGTTAGTGATCTTACTAGTGTCAATTACTCGCTTTACAAAATTAAAGTTATACTCATTTTCCCAAACATCTTCCCAACCGATGTACAGTTTCAAAATTTCCCTCTCAGTTGCATACATCACATAAATAATGATAATGATATTATAATAATAATATAATAAAAGAAATTAAATAAAATAATATTTACAAATAAATACACTAAAAATAAAAGAATTAAGCAACTTATCTGAGATTAGTCGAATATCCATGAGGAAATAATCCACGAAACTTTGCTTTATAATCTTTATTGATATAGTAATAAAATTATAATACAAACAACTTAAATAGAATAATATTGACAAATAGATGCACTAGATAAAATCGGATTAATCAACTTATCTGAAATTAGTCAAATATCCAAGAGAAATTAATCCGCGAAACTTTGTTATTTATTCTATAAAATGTGTCTCGTTTGTTTTGTTTGTTTACTTAAAATGCATCATAATAATCGTGAGGGACGTAACGATCAGAGTTTGTGTCACCGCTTTAAAATGTAAACAAGAATTTATGCAAAAAAAACTAAAAAAAATGTCACTAAACATGCCAAGTTTGAAAACATATTTGATAACATAGCTAGAGGTACAGAAAATAATTTTTTGATTTTCTTATTCATATAAGGTTGAAGTATTACTAAATCCACAGACTTTTCAAAAATGTAATGTTTTTTATTCAAAACGAATAAAAACAAAAATATAAATGCATTAAAAACTAACTTTCTATATAAAAACTTGCAAAGTCTGTGGAAATCTAGATAGAACAGACATTCATTAATGTCTGTTCTATCTTTCAACCATCGACCATGTAGCTATGTTATCAAATCTTAGTTGGCCTAAGACAGGTTTTGCGTAAAAATCGCAAAAATCAGAAAAGTGATGCCAAATTATTAACAATATTTTTACAGCTTTCATTTTTATTCCGTTTAATGTAAATGTTTATTTAACAAGGAAAGATAGATCTTTTATATTTTTTTTATTTGAAGATGAAAGCATTTATAGAAAAAAAATACTATTATTTTAAAGTTAATGAATTTTTATACTTTTTATGCGAAAATACTTTTTTTTTTGATAAACTCGTGACGTCAGGCTCGCTTTTATATTGAGTGAAACAGCCGTGATATATATATATATATTTTTTTTGTAAACGAATAAATTTATAAAATATTTTTAAATATATACTTGTTAATTTTTAGTTATGCTGTCTATTGGGATGAATTTGTTACAAAAAAAATTGGAGTTTATGATGAAATATTCAATACCTCGGAGCTAACACATACCTTTACTAAACCTGGTTTATTTAATGTTACCGTAAAAGCATTTACTGATTTGAGTTTTCAAATAACAAACCTTACCTTAAATGTTACATGCGGGTTACGTAATTTGTCTTTTTTTAATACAAATGAAGATCCAATAAGAGCAAATGGATCAATTAATCCTGTTGCAACATCTGAAAGTCAGCTAAGCGTTGATGTAAGTTTAACTGGGTGTGGTTTGATAACAATAAACTATTTTCTTGAAAGTGATACTTTGCAAATGAATGGTAGCTCAGCTTTATGGTTAGGTGAAAGTTCAATATATGACATATCAACAAACATTTTTCAAAAACTTGCCCAAACTATCAATATCACAATTTGTGCAACTAATAATTTAGAAACAGAATGTATAAATGATTGGGGCTACATTGAAGATGCCATTAAAAACTTTGATCTTGTTGTTACTACTATGGAAACAAATGTTAGTGGACTTCTCAATATTTCTAAAACTACAATAGGTACAAATAAAACATATTGTGTTGATTGGGGAGATGGAAGTTCAACTTGCACTAATGGGACTTATGATGTTCCCTCCATTAATCATACTTATACCAGGTCAGGAAACTACAGTGTGTTTGTTTTAGTTTTTAATAGAATTAGTCGAATGAACAAAACAGTACAACAAGAGGTTCAAGATAGAACTTATGGATGTAATATTGAAACTAAACCAACAGTTTATATGACGCCAACTGAGATATTTTATAGCATTGATAATGGAACTGGTATTGACATTTATTTAGATTGGGGTGATGGCAAAACAAAAAATGTAGTTTATGATATGGATATTTCCTTGAATAATAGCTTAATTAGTTTTCAAGATATTTTAGTTGGTTTAAGAGGTTTTGCTTCGTTTCAATATACAGTAAAACAAGATTATAATATTTGTTTATCTCTTATCAATGATATTAGTAATGCCTCATGTTGTGTTATAGCTATAGTTGAAGATGAAATAAAAGACCTTTATATAAAACTAGTGCAAGAATATGAAGGTACCAATAAAACAGATTGGATTGAAGAAAATGAAACTCTTTATTTGACATCGGAACATAACGCTGAAGCAAAACGCGTTCTCTTTCTGGTAAATTTAGATAATGGAACTTTGTTTAACACTACAAGTCAACTTGTAAATACATCATATTCTCCATGGAGGCTTTGTTACAATTACTCAGTGGTTGCTACAAATCCTGTTTCTATTGAATCTGCTTCAAAAAATTTGTGTGTTCAACGTCCCCTATATGCTATTAACTCTTCAAGATTTGTTCATGTTCCAACAAGTTCAACAAACGTAATGTCAATCAAATTAACATTTATTTTAGGAAATTATTTTGATTGTTTTTTTAACTTTAGCGATGGAAGTGCTGCAAGTATATTTTTCATCAGTTATACTGATTTTATTGGACCAGTTGGTTTTATAGAGGCAAATCATCAGTTTTTAGCTGGCCAGTACAATGTCACACTCTCGTGCACAAATCGTTTGTATGATTTTTTTGCTTCTACCATTGTTTTATCACAAGATCCTGTTATTAAACCATATCTTGATATTAAAGCACGTTGTTACAACAATAGTATTGTTACTGACCTTGCACTTGTAAGAGATATAAATGATATGGTAATGAGTGCTGACTGCAACATTTTTATAAGTGTACAAGATCAATCTGGTTCAAATGTTAGTGTGTTTGGATTACTGGTTATTGATGGTAATAGTAAAGGAAAATTTTTAGCAATTAATAATACCATTGAGATTCAAAAAAGTTATTGGTCTGGTTCAATGATTTATATGGCAAAAGTCTGTGTTAACTCGACCAATAATGTTAGTACAGACCTCACTTGTTCAAATATCAAATTAGTTACACCTGTTTCATCATTTAGAGTAAAAGCTGGAAGTGGTTCAGTTTATACACCAATAAGTTTCACAGTAACTTTTCAACCTCCTCTCCCAGGAAATCCATGTTTGTCAATTGATTATAAAGATGGTACACCTTACCAAGTTTTTGGTGGAACCAATTGTAATAAACCTACAGGTCCAATAAATGATCCGTCCACTAATACTTTTAGTAATACATACAAAAGCCCTGGTATTTACAGTATACTCTTTATTGCATATAATCAAGTGTCATCTGTGAGTCAAATAGTTTTATTACGTATAACCGATGTTCCATGTTACTCCCCATATATTGAAATTGCAAGTTCTGCTGCAAGCAGCGAGGAAAATTTAAACAGCAATCAAAATTTTTACAAATGCAAAAATACAACCTTTAAATACGTTATGAGAAGAAACTGCTCAAGAAGTAATGCAATTTTAGTAAGGAATATTGTTATTGAATATAAAGTAAGCAATTCAACATGGTCTAAAGTTGTTGATGAAAATTTAGGTAAAGTTTTTTGTGAGTGAGCTGAGGTAGAGTTATGAGGTGTGCTTATGATTATACTCTAAAATATATTTTTTTGAAGTTGCTTCCAAATGGTTATTTATTAATGATAATTAATAAATAACCATTTTAAGACAACTCTAGTTATATAAAATTTATTGTATAATAAAGTGCCATTTTAAATTCTTTTTTTTTTTAATTGTCTAGTTTACTTCATGTAAATGGGGGTTTCACTTTTTTTTTTACATATATTAAAGTGCTTACAATTATTTGTAAAACCAGTTTTAAAAGGCTTATGACTGTTTGTAAAACCAGTTTTAAAGGGCTTATGTTTTAACAGTTTTAATTAATAAATAAAGGTAAAAGTTGATAATCATTACTCTTATAGGCTTATGGTATAAAATTGAATAACTTGGTGTTTATTGAGTTATTTAGTGAGTTTATTTAAATTGATGTTACCTCATATTATTTTTTTTATACTATTTTTTCTACATTTTTACAACTTCAAATATACCAAAAACCGGTTGTTAAGCAATATATATATATATATATATATATATATATATATATATATATATATATATATATATATATATATATATATATATATATATATATATATATATATATATCAGGGTGTAAACTAGCCCTGTGGCGCCCCGTCAAACGCGGTTTTCCCAAATGCTTATAAAATTAAAATTCCCAATTTAAAGATTAAAAAATCCCATTCTCTTAAAAAAAGTTTTGAAAATTAAAGTTTAATATTAATTCTAAAAATAATTTGAAATTAATTATTATTCAAAACTAATAGAAAAATAACATAAAAGAATTCTAATTCATTAATTGCGTAAAACATGAAATCAAATCGCCTTTATTGGTATAAAAACGCAATTGCATAACTGCGAAAATTGGTTTCTTGGAAAAAAGCATCATTAGAATTGGGATTTTTGGAGAGATTTTTGTGACAACTTGCAATAAAATTTGTAAATAGTTTTTTGCAATGCATTCCAACAACAGCAAAAATTATATAAAAAAGTTAGCAAGAAATAAAGTACTAATCTAAAAGATCCAAAATAATAACAAACTTGTTTGGTTTAACACCCGCAAATCCTATTTCTTTAAAAGTTTCGCCCTTTTTGACTAGAAAGTTTAATAACTTATTAAGTCTTACCGTAAAACTTAACTTTAAGTAGTACATGTCAACAAAAACATCAAGAAGGTTATGTCAGATAACCTTTTGATCAATTATGGGTATTACGAAAAATCTTTTAGTTATTGTTTTTCTTTTTTTTGTTTGGTATTTTATATCAACTAAATTTGCTAAAGCTTTTTACTTTTTTAATGTATTCTTGGATTTTACTCTATAATTAAACAACATTTGTTGTTGCATTTGCTGAGACTTTGTGATTATAACTTTATTTTGATATGTGGTTTCAAAAAATTTCCTTTGATGACACAATTTATTATATAATGATGTAAGGGTTTCTTCGTAAGATACATTGAGCAGAATTTAAATAATAAATAAAAATAGATGATCATTGGCTCATTGGAGATCGCTATTTTACTATATAACATTAAAAAGAAATATATATTTAAAATAATACTCTTGAAATGAAAGCAGCAACAATATATAAAGATTATAAATAAATCAAAATAATTATTCTCAATAGTAATTAATATACACTGATAAGTTTATAATAAAAAAAGATATTTTTCCTAATATATGTTTGAAATCAGTTCTTAGTTTGCCGTGTCGTGAAACAACCGCTAATTTTGAGTTGATTTCATATTCATCTTTAATGATACAGATCGTATTTTATTTTATTTTTGGCGCTGATCAATCAATATATGCAGCCAAAAAAACACCAAAAAAGGACCCCATGCTTTCTCAGAACATGTATCTAATTTATTTCTGGTTAACACCCTGTGTATATATATAAATATATATATATATATATATAAATATATATATATATATATATAAATATATATATATATATATATATATATATATATATATATATATATATATATATATATATATATATATATATATATATATATATATAAAACTGCCAATCTGAATATTCTAAAATGTCGGCATGCAAATTGAAATCCATGTAAAAAAAAGCTAATATTCATTAAACATTATTCTATAATTTTTTTATTGTAATTACTAACTCTTCAAGTTTGACATGTTTTATTAAGACAAATATTCATTCTTTTTTTTTCAATTAATTTTTTCTTTTTTTCTCAGATTTATTCATGCATAGCTAAGTTAAAAAATATTACTTTTGAAATGCCTGATGTTCTCACGCTTTTTAAGCGCAATTATTATTTTATTAAGATATAAAATCTAATTTTAATTTATTTTTTGACTTAAAACCATGTAACTAATTAAATAATTTTGTTTTCCCTCCATCAATTTACATATAGTTACAAGTTCATACTATACTACAATTAAATATTGAAAATCACCACCCCTACTAGTTGATAAATAAATGTTAATTTCTTGTAGAGGTTAAACAACTACTCATTTTGTTAAAGAATTCCCCGTTTTAAATAAAATCCCCTTCAGCACATAAACTAAATTTGTATTTCTAAATGACGTTCTTTCTAATAGCAATTTAAAAAACCAATTAATATGTAATATATAAACTATGACCATTTTTTTTTAAAAATAAAACAATTTCAAAACTAAAAAATCACATATTCCTAAATTTGCTATGTACTTAATTTACTACACAAAATTTCAATGCTGCATTCTTCAAAATATTGTCTAAAGCTATGCTGTTATAAAGCAATCCTTTTGTAATCAATTATTCATTACTCCTATCGTAACAGAAAGCAGAAAATCAAATTTTTTTTTACTTACCTAACGTCAGCTAAGGTCGGCACAAGCGTGCCTACCTGAAATTCTTCGAATTTTGCTGACTGTATATATGAATATATATGTATATATATATATATATATATATATATATATATATATATATATATATATATATATATATATATATATATATATATATTATAATATATATATATATATATAAGTAAAAAAATTGGCTCCAGCACCATTAAAATTGTTGGCTCCAGCTCCCGCTCTGGAGCAGCTCCGGAATGGCTCCAGAAGAAACAAATCAAAATAATAAAATATTTTATAAATTATCATGTTTTGGTGGTTTTATCAAGATTGCTTGATAAAAACTCAAGTGCAGAAAATAGACTCTCTACACTTACTTGTAAAAAAGTTTAACTACTCTGAACACATCTGTGTTCTTTTTGGGTATTTATTAATTTCCTTAAAAGCTGATTTCACTTTTAAAATTTTTTCGCTGGTCATAACATAAACTTTGTATTAAAAGTATTTGAAAAATTAATTTTGGTCACACTTCTCAATTTTTTTTTTTATCAAGCTCTTTTTTAAACTTGTCTAATTCTTCCTCAGAATTAGATTTACCTAAAAATGAGTAAAGTATTGTAGATGATTCAGCTGTTTTTCTTATTTCTTGACGTTATATTTTTGGCATCTCTTTTATAAGTTATTTTATGCTATTGCTTTTAGACTTTCTCATATATCTCATATATCTCATATATCTTTTAGACTTTCTCATATATCTGATTATCTTCTAACAATATTCTATAACTAGCATTAACATAAACTGTGGCTAGAAATTTATTTAAAATTTCTTAGTTTCTTCACAACACATCAGACCTTTGTCAAAAGTTGGGTAGAGTATGTTTCTTTTAAAGCATCACAATTAACTAGCTACAAAGTGTGAACAACACAGCACATCACCTCAATCTTAGTATGTTTGCACCCTTGGAGAACTAAGGTTATATTTTTTTTCCCAAACTATTGCACGTTCTTTATCATTCAAATCCTGTCATAAATGCTCCTCATGTTTCTCATCAATGTTTTATGCAGCAACATAAGCTATATGATATTTTAAAAAAAACAATTTTGTTAAAATTAATTAAAAAAAAAAACGCTATTAATTTTTTGAATATATACAAAAACATCTTTATATACCTCAGCTCAAGTATAATTTATAAAATATTAAATTTCTAAGTGCCTCAAGGTGAGCGTCAAATACTTAACACTATATCTATACATATAATATCAACATCATAGTATAAAATGCTTTATCTAGAAATCATAAAACTTTAAATGCATTATTAATTATAGTTGAATTCAAAAAAATCTTTTTTTTTTTTTTTTTTTTTAATTATTCACCTTCCCAAGACCCGAGGGGGCCACTACAGTCGAGGATACTCATTTTCTTTTTCTACTCATTTTTTTTCTTTTTTTTCTTTTGTTGTAAATCGTGGTACAACCCTCTCTCAACTTTTTAACTCCGAAACACAAACCTTGACAAGCAAGGCCGCTGCGCAGAGAAATTAAGTTGAGCGCGTTACTTCCAGGGACGTGGTGGGAGTCGAACTTCAAACCTCTCGCTTACAAAGCGAGCGCTCTTACCTCTACACCACTACCGCATTTTCATACGAAAGACAACTTCATAGTGCTCAAAAATCCCTTTAGCAAAAAGTACTTATACTTTGATATTCCAAATTATCAAAGAGAGGAGATAGCTTGGAGCCAGCTCCACCTAGAAATATTTCAGCTCCAGCTGTGGCTCATCTCCTTGTAAAAACACCAGCTCCAGATAGCTCCGGCTCCAGCTCTAGAGCAGCTCCAAAGCCCTAATATATATATAATAATAGAGCAGCTCCAAAGCCCTAATATATAACTTGGCAAGTTAGTGCGTTTTTATCATGTTAACACATTAATGCTAATAATCAGTTTATCATGCGTTGATGTACCTTTTGTTTTGAAAGTCCATTGCTTACTGTGTTTGAATACACATAGATAGACTGTAACAATGCAACTAATTACAACGCAAATCATAGGTCGCAGGAGAAGTGTGATTTTATCATTAGGCTACTGGCTGCTTGGAATGAGGGTCATCACACATCTTAACCAATAAAGTCATTACACCTCTTAATCAATACTAGCGGTAAGCAACCCGTAATACGCGTTGTTAGTAAATAAAATTTAAAAAAAAAAAAAGGGGAATAGAAAAGCCTAGAAACTACTTTAAAATAGAAAAGCCTAGAAAATGACGTAACTCGACTAATATTAAATTAGCGTATTCATATTATCAGAAAAGCATTTGTTTTCACAAAAAATATTAGATGCAGACAGAATAAAATGTAGCAAAGACATGTAAGAAAAAATATCTTTTACCTTACTATAAAATGGAAAATAATTTTAATTTAAATTGAATAGTTCAGTAAACTAAAAATGGAGGTCTGCACAAGAATCATTTCAAAACAGACCTGTCAATATTTAGTTGATTTATTAAATTTAAATTAAAAAGTTTATTTTCCACTTTATAGTAAGATAAAAGATATTTTTTAATAAATGTTTTTGCTGCATTTTATTTTCTATTTTTCTTTACAATGAGTTTGTCATGAGTCTCAGCTGTTTATTTTCTTTTATAAGCTTCAAAAGCTTTACTTAAATTTTTTACTTTCTGTAAAAGTTTTCTCCTTATATTTTTTACTCTCCTTATTTTTTTATTTTTTAGTTACTATTGCTCACTATTATTTTTACATTAAATTATGTTGTTATTATATTAAAATTTTTTTTTTGTATTTTCATTATGTTTGTCTGTTTTATTTGGTTTTTTTTTGTTTATTTTAAAGTTATGTAATAATTAAATTATAATTTATAATAATAATCAAATTATAAAATAGTTGAATCATTTTAAAACTTTTGTGTAAACTAATGTTATTGCTATATTTTAAGCCAAATTCATGTGTTTAAATCAAATTATTATGAAACTTTAATGGATTAAAAGTTTAAATGGATTTATTATAAAACAAATATTTTAATGTGTTTTAACTAATTAAAAGTGTTAAAACAAATCATGTGACTTAATATATAGATATACAAATTTCCGTTAACGAATCATTGACATGAAAATTGTTTTGATATGACCTATTAATCCTTTCAGTCCCTGTTACTCGCTATGCGGGTAACATGTGTTAGTAAATGTGACCATGCCAAAAATACTATTTGATCGAGTGACAGAGGCTAAGAATAATAAAAAAATTTAAAAAAATTAGTTTGGCTGCCATTTTTCTGAAAAAAAAAAGCAAGGTGTCATTTGTGAGGATCTGACAATTAGTTTTTATTTTTTTAAATCGAAGTTAATATTTCACTTTCTACTTACTGTTTTTTGTCTGGGTCAATTTGTTGCCTGAATAAAGGTTTAAGGCTTTATTCAGGCAACAAATAAATAAATTTGATAAAGAGTGATGTAAAAAAGAGAAAAGTTATAAAAATGGAAAAAGGTATCGAAATCTTAAATGAACATTTTTATTTTTAATCTCTTCCCCAAGGTGGAGGTGATAGAACTAAAGCTATTTGTAACTATAGCAAAGCTGAATTTTCTTATCATTGAAGTACTTCTGAAGTATCACTTTTATGCAACGCACATGATTAATGCCAGCAAATAATTTATTTGTTGTCTGAATAAAGCGTTAACACTTCTGCCAGTTGATATTCTAAATCTTAAACTAAAAGTTCAGAACAAAAAATAATTTTCTGAAAGGTTTTCTCATTAAACTTTTCTTTTGGCAATTCTAATTCAATAATTATTTAACATTTAACATTTTTCCAAGATTTTAATTCTTTAATTTTTTCTAATATTTTCCTAAGATCTTTTAAAATACAAAAAAAAGAAATTAAATCAAACAACTATTCTTTAGAATTTTATTTAGTTCGTGTAAAAATATTTATGCACCTTATGTGTTTCCTTTTATACATTATTATTACTGATATCTTTATTTACAAATCATACAGTGATCATAAAATAAGCATAAAGGGATCAATGTAATAATCAATAATCAGTATCGATAATATCCTAAACAGCAACAAATTTTATCAATATTATCAATGTGAGTAACTATATTGCTATTAGTTTTTTGTGTTTAAAATGCCTGTAATAACTTCTCTTATAAGTTATTATATTATAAGATTTACAAATCATATAGTGATCTTGAAATAAGCATGTAGTGATCATGTTACAATTAAAAATCAATAACATCAATAATATCCTATAGGGCAACGAGTCTCATTTGTTGAAATTAAAACAACATTATAAATATGAGTAATTGTTGTGAGTTATTTTTTGTGTTGTAGTTACCTCTAAAATGTTGTAATAACTTGTTTTAAAAGTTGCTGCAAGCATGGTATTGCAATGTAATTGTTACAATTAAAAGATATTGTTACAATTATAAAACTAAGAAACTTTATTTATAAATAAAAATTTTAGGTAATAAAATAAAAGTATTTAATAATAGTTGAAACAATTTAATTTTATTTATTACAATTTATTATTTGTCAAATTTAATTTTTCCCAGGCAGTTTTAATCCGATTATAAGTTTTTTTAATGAAATTTCTGAATTATCAATTTAAAGATAAAAATAATTTTTTAATGATTTTTTACTATTTCTTTATAAAAAGAAGCAAGCTGTTATAATTAAATGCACTTTGATTACTTAATTGAAAAAAATGGTGCTTGTCAAATCTAAATTTATTTATATTAACATTAAAATCAATTATGTCAAATTATGTCATTTGCACTTATCAAATCATACATGTTTAAAAAAAGTTGTCTTTAGTTAAAAATGTTCATTTCTTAGGTTTTCTAATTTCATCAACTCTCCCTTATTGAAAATCTGAAGTTTTTAACAATTAAAAAATGGAATAATATATATTATCTGTTTTCATTCAAAGTGATGTTTTAAATCTATTTTTTAAAATTAAAAATCAATCAAGTTAATAATTTGATTGGTTTCAATTTTAAAATCAAAAAAATTAAATGAGGTGGCATTTTGCCAGTTTGCCAAATTGAGATTTGAACTAATATGTCTAATATGTATGTCTAGTATGTAATTAGTATGTTATAGTATGTATGTTTTTATTTTAATTATTAAAGAACAAAAACAAAAATTTTGTTTGTTAGTTAAGTTTTTTTAAATATTTTTTGGAAATTAAATGTATAAAAATAAAGTAAAAACAAAATGAAGTCTTAATGAAGTAAATTTTTGCTTTTGTTAAATAAGTTTAAAAAATTTTTTAGCACAAAAACAGTTTCTAAAATCTTCAATATTTATTGTATCAGTATTTATTTTAAAATATTTTTTTAGTGCTTAAAATTTTTATATTACTTTCTTGTAGGTGAAAGGTATATTCTTATGGGTAAAAGTCTTAATAAATATGGTGTTTATAGAGTTAATTACATCGGACAGATGGTAGACAATAGAACAGGTGATGTAATTGATAGTACAACAGCTGTGAAAAAAGGTTATTTCAAAATTGTACCTTGTCCATTAAGAATTATTATTGATGGAGGTTATGAAAAAACTGTTGAACGAGGCAGTGGTAAGAAGGGATATTTATTTCAATTGTTTTTTTTTTAAATAACAATTAATTTTGTTTCTAATTACTTTGTTTTAATTTTTTAAATGTATTTCATTTAGTTTATTTTGTTTTTATTGTTTTTTGTTTTTAAGTTTAAGAAAAACTCTTGCAAACCAAATGAATTAACCTTTTTTAATTTATTTAGTAAATCTTTTTATTTGTCTCCATAATCATTGAGACTGATTTTGCGCTAGTAGTTTTAAGATTCGGGACATCAAATGCACATTTTTCTGCACATTATCTTTACAGAAAGATAAAAAAAATCTTGAAAGAAATGCACAAAATAAACAAAACTAGTTTTGGTGAGTTAAGATTGAAAATAAAGAAACCTTCATCAGGTGGAATTAGCATTTGTACAGTTTTAACTACTTTAATGTTGCAGGTTTCTTTGAAAATAAAGAAACCTGCATCTGGTGGAATTAGCACTTGCACAGTTTGAACTACTTTATTTCAAGTTTCAAGTTTGTATACTATGTTCAAGGATTTACACCATGTAAAGTTTTAATTCAGTTGATATTTAAATCAATGTTGTATCATATAAACAACCTTGTTATAATTTATCATCAGAGAAAACTCAAGTATCTCAGATTAAAAGTATAAAACAGTTTACTGTCATATTTAAAAAAAAAAAAGAAAATAACACATTTGATATATTAAGTTTTTCCAATATCTTTTATAATTTAAAAAGTTTATTCTATTAATTTTTTTTAATATTATAAATACATTTATATTATAAAAATAGTTATGTTAAAAAATAATTTAAAAAGTTAAGAAAATAAGTTAGTGGGCTATTCCCCTAATATGTATGCATGCTAGGAGAAGTTCCATGGCAACCATAGAAGCTAATCTTTATTATTTAGAGAAAACTAACTGAAAAATTAAGTTCAGTTAAAAATAAGTTTGGTTAAAATTAAGTTCAGTCAAATTAAGTTTGGTTAAGACTTCAAGTGTTCAACCTGGTCAAGAGTTTATTGAAAGCTCAGCAATTCTGAGTGGCAAAACAATATATGCTGCTTGGTGGCGGACCGTCATTTAAAATTTGGTTTAAAAAAAAATTTTTTTTTTAAATTTATTTTTCTTATAGTTTAATATGAAAGTATAAAATTGTTTTATAATTAAAATTCTTGTAAAATTTAAAAAAATTTGTGTACATTCAAAAGACATTCAAAAGTTCAATTTATAATTTTAATTATGAACATGGCTAATTTAATTTTAGTTATGACAATCTGTGCCGTGGCTAGTGGGTTGGAGGCTCCACTACCACAAAATTGAACAAGCTTCAGAGTCACATATATGCAACATTTTATAGGGTCATCAAACACACAAGGAAGTCAATTATTTACAATAATGTCATTGGACAGGATGAATCTTAGTGGGAGGTTTTCTTTGTTGCTGCAGGAGTCATACAGGTCTTACAAAACTTTGATTGCAGGCAACCAGCACAGGTTGCCTTAGGCAATGTTGATTGGAGATATTTTCCAGTGGTTTTGAAATCATCTGAGACCTTTTGGATAATCATTCAGCACTGCAGAAAGTTCATCAATATCTTTTGGGCTGAATAATTGATTGCTAAACCAATGGTCAGCCCATTATTAGGGCTGACCATTGGTTTAGCTTATGTTTGGGATCTTTTAAAACTTTACGAACGGTATCTCATTCATCTCAGTGTGGTGATAAAAGCTAGTAAAGAGTGAGATAGTAAAGAAATTTTATGTTGTATCTCCAGCCACCTTAATCTTGTTTTTACCATTGCTGAAGGCTAATTTCAATTTATCATTATTGCTCAGCAAATTCTTCACAAAGAAGTGCTCAATGTTTGGTGACTTAGTCAATCTATTTAGCTCATCATGACAATGCAAAGAACGCAATCCAGCTCATGGTAATGGCAGCTGATGAACTTGGATTTATGGAAACCTTTCTCTATAAATATTTGGAGAAACCAAACGACATTGCCTGACTTCTTGCCAGTATTCCCACTTGTTGTGTTGGCAACAATCATCACAATTGATCCTCATAGGTTGAATACATTGTGAAGTCCTTTTGTAATTGTTTGAGCTTTCTCATCTTTCAACTTGAGCACAGTCAACCTTTTTTGCTCCATTTTTGAGGATCACTGACTGATATTTAAAGCCATATATATTTTTTTTTATGTCAAAGTGTATGCTCCATTTCTCCAGTTGAAGCATATGGCATTAAGTTCAACAACAATAACACTGATTCTATCTCCATTTTTTGGTGGTGAATTCAAAAAATTTAAAACGTCCAATGGTTTTCTGGGGTATGCAACTCCTTTCACTCAAAAATGCTTCGTAAACTACCACTTTGCCTCTTCTTGGTAGCGCTTAAAATTGGATTAAGTTCTTTTTCCAAGTTTCCATATTCTTCTTGGTAGTGATTTTGCTGGTTATCCATTTCAAAAACCGGATAACATTTCTCGTCAATTTGCGGTTAACCGACTATTCAGTAAATAAGTGACGCATTCTGAATCCAGGAACTTCTAAATTTCAACAAACATAGCGTTTTAAAATAATTTTTTAAAAATTAATGTTAAAGTGTACATTTTCAAGACAGTTAGTGAATACAGTCCTATATTATATATTTATAACAAAACATGGAAAAAGATATATATATTTTTTATATTACAATATAATATACATTTTTAATTATATAATTAAAAAAGGTAGGAATAATGTTTTAATATCAGCGGATGTTTTAAATGTTTTAATATCAGCGGATGTTTTAAATGTTTTAATATCAGCGGTGTTTTAAATGTTTTAATATCATATTGTTTTAAATGTTTTAATATCAGTTTAAATGTTTTATTATCAGCGGATGTTTTAAAATCATTCTCTCATATAAAAACATTTGGTATTGTGGTTTATCCTCCTCCGGCTAGTTGCCATATAGAGGCCACATTACCAAGGTACCGCAAAGACAGGTTTGGCTCCCCAGGGAGCGTCATAACCCGCTCTACGGACCAAGAGTAAAGTGAGTTTATGAAGAACGAAGATATGTTAGAGTGAAAGACAGAAGTAGTCGTGTTAGAAAGACAGCATAGAGAAAGTGGACAGGATTGCACTCAATGTTAGGAGTATGTTAGGAGTTAAATAAATATTTAACTCGATGTTAGGAGTTAAATAAATATTTTACGTGTATATTATATATATTTTTTCTCATATAAAAACATTTGATTTGGAAAAATTAGATGTTATGAAGTAAATTTTTTTAGCGTGTATTTTAAAAACTTATTGTTATGCGAACACAGATGGAAACATAGATAAACTTGAATGTTCTCAAAACAACTTGTTGCGTAAGATAATATAAAGAATATTTGCTAACACTAAAATACCGCCAAATTTACGAATAAACAAATTCTATTTAGCGAATTAGAGTTCCAGAATATTCTGAAGAAACTTTCTTAAAAATGTATTGCTTGAGTTGTAAAAGTAATAAATAAATCTTTGAGATTTCTATTGTAAATTGTTTTAAGAATATATTATCAAACAAAACTGATTAAATTAACATTTAAATTAATAAAAGAAATATATTATAATCTTTAAACTAATTAAACTAATATAAACCTAATTATCCGCTTTGAATCCCTCACATATCAATATCTATCACACTACAGAAAAGCTAAAGTTTTACTACTCTACACATTTTCTCAAATGCACAACATTCTACAAAGTTCTAAAAAATTCCAAACAATTCTCTCAGGGTAGAACCGTGAATTTTTTTATGGGAGCTCATTTTTGTAATACAAAGAAGTTTAGGTTCGATGGTTCGAGCCTGTCTCTAATAATATGTAGTATATAAATTAATATAGAAGTTGTTATATATATATATATATATATATATATATATATATTTTATATATATATATATATATATATATATATATATATATATGTATGTATATGTATATACACACATATATATATATATGTATATATATGTATATATTTATATATATATATATATATATATATATATATATATATATATATATATATATATATATATATATATATATATATATATATATATATATATATATATATATATATATATATATATATATATATATCTATATATATATATATATATATATATATCTATATATATATATATATATATATATATATATATATATATATATATATATATATATATATATATATATATATATATATATATATATATATATATATATATATATATATATATATATATATATATATATATATATATATATATATATATATATATATATAACATATAACGATAATATATACATATAGATATTTATATTATCGTTATCAGATATCATTATCAATGCAACACAAAGCTATGATCCAGATGATGATAATGCTATTTTAAATGTGAAATGGTTTTGTGCTCAGAGCGGGAATTATAATGGTACTGATTTGGATAGCTTAAAAAAAATTGAATATCCAACTGTTGATTTAGCAACTTATACTAATGTCGATTTTATTTCCAAGGAATGCTTCTCTAATACGGAGGGACCAACACAATTAAATGATAAAGGTAATTATAACTTATTGCAGTAATTTTTGATTTATTTTAATAAGTAAAAGTCCCTATGCCCTAGGTTATCTATCAATAATTATAATTTTATGTGTTTTATATCAGGGTTTTTAAATGATTGTTGTTGTTGTCATGTCAACATCTTGCACAACTTACTATTACTTCAACAGAAAAATAGACTTTAAAATTTAAAATTTAAAATTTAATTTTTATATTTTAAGATTTCTATTTTTAATCTTTGAATTGTGTAAAGAAGTTTATATCAAATTAGCTTAAGATAATCTCAAAGATAATCTCTGATAATAAAATATTTACTGCTTTACATCTTCCCAAAATATCTCTCTCTGTATTGTGCTCATCATTTTCCCATTACTGATTCTATTCCCAATTTTCTATATCTACAAATCTCTTATTTGTGCTTGTATGAAACACTGTTGTTATATCTGGGCTAGGTCTTCTAAAGATGTTTACGTATTGTAGATAGGCCTACTCTTTTTACTAAGCTTGAAGTCTCATACAATTTTTTCAAATAAAGTTAAAAATATGCTACTCAAGTAATATATTTAATTTCCTTTAATTTAATATTCAAAAACCTATGTACCAAAAAGAAAAAAAAGGGTTTCAATGTTTTTTTGATAGATTAATATATCAGTTTTGTTCTCAAAATTTCACATGTTTAAACTTTTGTGAATAGTTGTAATATTGATTTATTTTTGTAGTTATAAAGTTTTTCAAACCTTCTGTCAATCTTTTTCTTTTTTCTTTGTTTTCTGGTTAGGTTTTTTTCTCGTAGGTTTTAAATAAATGTTGCTAAAATATGTGTAATAATTATGCATCAACATCAAATCCTTGAAAGAATGTGTCTGATCTAACTGACGCTAATCAAAGTAAATGGCAAGTTTATCAACAATTTTGTGAGGTAGAGCAGTAAATCATATCTAATTTGACCAGAAAATCTTGTAACAGTTATGCAAAATTAGATCCCAAGAGTTTCTATTTTTAATCAAGATTTCCTGAAGTTTAGAAAATATTTTAAGGATTCAGAACAGATTTTCATTTTTACTGGAATTGGCAAATTGCTATTTTTATGTCTTAAAATTATCTTGACAGGCAATTTTAAGAGGTCAAAATGCAGCTTATAAGGATGTCTTATTTAATAACTTTTTATTACATTGCATTTATTTCTCCTAGTTAAATTGCTGTTAGTCCATATATATGTATATATATATATATATATATATATATATATATATATATATATATATATATATATATATATATATATATATATATATATATATATATATATATATATATATATATATATATATATATCAACCCTCAGAATTAGGGTTGGCTAATTCTAAAGGTTGTAATTCCAACCTAATTCCCTAATTCCAACCTAACTGCCGCCTGTTAGGCTCAGCAATCCTGACCTAACTGCCAACCTGAAAGTGTTTGATGTTGGCAAAAAATTACCAACCTCATTTCTATGTTTTATGGTCACACCTTTGTATCAAATAATATTTGCCAACCTGATAACCTCAAAAAGATTAAGGTCGGCAAATTATTGCTGACCTCATTTTTCCTAATTGGGAGGTTTAGACTTTGTCACCTCACCTAAAGACAAAGGTGAATTGTTTGCTAAGAGTTTTTCATCAATATCATCTCTTGATTCCACTAATTACCTGAAATAGGTGTCGAACAGGTTGATCCATTGCTTGACATTTGTATCACTCCAGCTTCTGTATCTAAAGTGATTTCCTGCTTATACTCTTCTACAGCTTGTGGCCCGGACAACATACCTGTTATAGTCTTGCAGACATGTTCTCCAGAGCTGTTGTCTATACTTTCAAAACTATTCAACTAGTGCTTATCAGAGTCTTGTTTTCCAGCCTGCTGGAAAGCAGCATTTGTTATCACTTTTTGTTAAATATTCTGGAGAGCGATCTGATTTGTCTAACTACTGTCCTATTAGTCTTCTTCCTATCATAAGCAAGGTTTTTGAATCTTTAATTAATAAACACTTAATCTCTCATTTTGAATCTAATAACTAACTTGATCATCAATATGGATTTTGATCTTCTCGTTCTACAGCCGATTTGCTAACAGTAATAACCAATAGGTTTTATTGTGCATTAGATAAAGGTGGAGAGGTTAAGACCATCGCTCTTGACATTTCTAAAACATTTGTCTGGCATGTTGGTTTTTTCTATAAGCTTTCTTCTTACTAACCTTAGCAGATGCTAATTTTGCAATTGATTTGATATATGGTTTCAAAGAAAGATCAGAAGTAAGAGTTTATCCTAGAAGATGAAAAGTAGATGACTCATCAAGTACATTACCGCTCATAATATAGAATGATCTAAAGTTCACCAGCCACTGAGAGCCCTACACTGTAGCAGAAGTGAGATCCTTTTCATGCTTAAATGCCTCCTCTAAGTAATCAGAGAGTGTTAAATTCTTATTAAGACAAGAATAAATGGTAGTATCATCAGCAAACAATGCCACCTTAGATGCGAGAACATCTGGAAGATCGTTAATGTAAATTAAAAAGAGTATAGGATCGAGGATGAGGAACCCCTGAAATTACAGGATAAGAGGAAAAGTGCTGACCATCGAGGACAACTTTTATACTACGATTGGTAAGAAGGAATTCAATAATCTTAATGGTGTTACCTGATACTATGTAAGAAGAAAGCTTATGAAGAAGACCAGCATGCCAAACTTTATCAAAGAATTTAGAAATGTTGAGAGTGACAGCCTTAGTTTCTTTACATCTATCTAATGCACAATAAAACCTATCAGTTATTACTGTAAGCAAATCAGCTGTAGATTGAGAAGATTGAAATCCATATTGATGATCAGAAAGTAAGTTATTAGATTCAAGATTAAGTTTGTTAATTATAAACTAAAAAACCTTGCTTATGATAGGAAGAAAAAGACTAATGGAACGGTAGTTATACTAGTCAGATCGTTCTTCTGACTTTTTGAAAAAACAGATTACAAATACCACTTTCCAGCAGAATGGCAAACAAGACTCTGATAAGCACTTGTTAAATAGTTTAGAAAGTATAGACAGCTCAAACATTTGTACAAGAAAACATTTGTAGATCCTAATCACAAGCTGTAAAAGAGTCTAAGCAAGAAATAACTTTAGATACAGAAGCTGGAGTGATACGAAAGTCAGACAAAAACTAACCTGTTTTTCACCTATATCAGGTAAAATGTGATTAGTTGAATTAAGATATGATATAGATGAGAAGTTAGCAAACAATTCAGCCTTATTTTTAGGTGTGGTGATAAAATCTGAAACATACAAGAGATATGATATAACAGGTTTTCCATTTTATATATACTATTAAAGATTCTCTAGAAGTCACAATAGCCTAATTTTTTGATAGGAAATACAAGATTTCGTGTCCGGTAACTGTAAGAGGTACAATGATAGGGGGGTTCTGAAGATGACAAAGAATGAGATAATAGTTTTATAGAGATAAAACCTTGATTAGAAGCACGTAAGGGTGAATGTGTAAGGGTGTAGAGAAACTGAGCACTGATTAGGATTTGGAAAATTGGAAAATGGCCTCATTTATTCCAATTTTTAAAAATTCCAGTGGACATTCTGACCCCTCCAATTATTGTCATATCACTCTTCTTTCTGTTATTAGCAAGGTCTTTGAGTCTGTATCTGGGAAGGTTTTTGAGATTATCAAATCCTTTTTTTTCTCACCGTTATATTAAAGTTATCTATGAAAACCAACACTCTTATTTATTTCAAGTAACTTCTGGGGTACCTCAAGGTTCTATCCTTGGTCATGTTTTGTTTTTTATCTACGTTAATGATCTACAAACCTTACATCTAAAGTAACTCTTTTTGCTCAACTTTTTACTTCTGTCTTGACAACAAGCCTTCTCATTTCCATTGCTTAGAACAGATTGGAACTCACAGTGGCTTGTAAATTTTAACACCAACCAAACTCAGTTATTTCTGCAAACAACTGTTGCAATATTGTCAACATTCCTAAAATAATAAATGGCAACCCTGTCACTGAGTCCATTTTTTAGGTCTTTATGGGTTATCGTTTACTACTAACCTTTTATGGAAATCATATATACAATCAATTTCTAAATTAGCATCTGCTAAGGTTGCTTGTCTTTATCATATTTGCCGTTTTCCCTCTCTTGATTTCATTCTCTACCTCTACAAACCTCCTATTTGTCCCTGTATGTAATACTGATGTCATATTTAGGCTGGTTGTTCTAATGATGCTCTTTTTCCTCTAGACAAGGTCCAAAAATGCATTGTAAATGTAGTTGGACCTGCTCTACCTGCTAAGCTTGAGCCTATTTCCCATCATTGTAATTTGTATCTCTTTCTCTTTTCTATTACTGTCATGGTTTTAATATTATCATGGTTGCTGCTTACAGGAGCTATTATCTCTAGTTGCATCAACTAAAACTCATTCTCACTTGACTCATCATTCAGCAAAGTCTCATTCTTAAACTACATTTGTTGCTGCATGCTCTAAAAACTTTTACTCATCTATTTTTTTCCCTGCACTTCAACCCTTTGGAACTTTTTTCCATTTCAGACTTTCCTGATTCATACAACCTTCAACTTTTTGAGTCTTTTGACAACTTTTCCTTGCTTTACAACTCTTTTTTTTCTTCTAGTAACTCCCATCATGACAGTGGTTGCTTGTAGCAACCACTGTCATGATGGGAATTAGAAAATGAGGTCAGCAACTGTCATGATCAGAATTAGAAAAATTGAGGTCAGCAAAAATTTGTTGACCTCAATCTTTTAGAGGTCGGCATCAGGTCTGCAAAAAAAAATTAATATTAAGGTCTTATTAAACATAAAATCATAAAAAATCGAAATGAGGTTGGAAATTTTTTGCCAACCTCAAACACCTTTAGGTTGGCATTTAAGTTGGTATTGCTGAAAGCCAACCCTAATTCCAGGGGTTGATATATATATATATATATATATATATATATATATATATATATATATATATATATATATATATATATATATATATATATATATATATATATATATCAAAATCAGCACACTTTTGTTTGAGAAATAACCTGCTTGGATTTCCAAAAAAATCCTGAAATAATTAATATGAACTCTATTATAGGCAACTGTCATTTTATTTAAAAACTATTAGCAACAAATGGTGTTTAAAATTATGACCTTTTGAAATTTGTAACCCCCTTTGTTTGAGGGTGATTCAGACTTTATATGGTCATATTTTTTTAAACAATAAAAGATTATTATTATTATTTTATAAGGTTTACCGGATTTGAATGCCTGACATGAATGTCTGTCAACCTTTGTATAGGCCTTGTATAGGCCGGATTTGAATGCCTGTCAACCTGACATGAATGCCTGTCAACCTTTGTATAGGCCTTGTATAGGCCGGATTTGAATGCCTGTCAACCTGTCATACAAATATATTAATCATAAATTTTTATTTCTTCTTTTAGATATTTGTCTAGTTTGTTTTTAAAATTGCTCAAGGATGGCACATTTACAATGTTATCTGTGAGGGAAATCCATTTGCTTGACAACAACAAGGTTTTTCTAGTTTAAATGAATGCCCTCTTGTAAAAGAACTCTCATTAGAAATTTTCGAATCGTTAGACAGTTGTTTAGCAGTTTATTAAATTTTCACAGATTAGTCTGTATCTTATGGTTGTCAAATTAATTTATAGTCAAATTAGCAGATCTCCCTGGATTAATATGTATCTTATGGTTGTCAAATTTTTAATTAAGTCTTTGATATGAAGCGCCTGATAAACTAAATCAAGCATACATAGCTTTGTTGCCTCTTACTTGTTAAAAGTTTAAAAACTTATTGAAGCTAAACAATTTCTAAGTGAACAAGATAAAACATTATTTGATCAATTGCTAACTATATAAATTTTTTGAAAAATCTATTTGATATTTATATGAAAATAAAAATAAGAATTTTATTTAATGCTTTGTTCACAATGGGTTTAAACTAACTTGATACAAAGTGATGGATTACAGACTTGATACATTAATGGATTACAACTTGATACAAAGTGATGGGTCACAGACAGTATGGTTAATAAATGAAGTTAGGAAAGAAATGTGGTACTACCAGGGATGTGGTAGGGATTGAGTATGGAACTTCTTGCTTATAAAGCAAGCGCTCTACCACTACACTACTACTATATAAAAGCTTTTTTTATCATTTAAGTTTAAAGTCATTTTTTTTTTCTGAAAAATTGCTTCCCATTAACTTAACTTTCCAAAGATAAAGTATATTTTTAAAAGTATCCAAGTAAACTTCTTTTGTTTGTATCCCCTCTATTATTACAATGTCACATGTGACATTCTGCACCTTACAGCCCCGCACCTTAACACTACACCCACCATGTTTTACAGTAAATAATTCACACTGTCTTATCATACATTCAACGATTTTTTTTCAAGACAAACAATCTTCTATTGTAACTAAAGATTTGAACTTTGACACATTGGTCCAAATACTTGTATGTTTTTAAATTAAAAAAAAAAAAAACATAAACAAAAACATTAAAAATAGTTAAATTGAAGTATTCTGAACATTTGAAGGTTTTGCAACACAAAAATGGAGTCATCTGGTGTATTAATCCATAAAGTATTTAGTTGTAATGAGATGCTTATTTTGCACTAAAAATTGTTAAATATTATAGCATATAATACATATACATACATATTATATTATACATACATACAAAGATATAAAATATATATTTTTAAAAGTATCCAAGTAAACTTCTTTTGTTATTATTCCCTCTATTATTACAATGTCACATGTGGCATTATACATGACAATTGTACTGCTGTATGTATGTATGTATGTATGTATGTATGTATGTATGTATGTATGTATGTATGTATGTATGTATGTATGTATGTATGTATGTATGTATGTATGTATGTATGTATGTATGCATCTATGTATGTATCAAGCTCCTGGAAAGCGTGTGCAGTTGTAAGCCTTGTCCGTCATAACATATATATATATATATAACATATGTTATATATATATATATATATATATATATATATATATATATATATATATATATTACTAAATCTTTTTTTTAATTACTAATTTTTAGGCTCTAAGCAAAATTCTGTTATCAATTTCAATTGATAATTTTTTTTTAATTGATAAAGAAGTTAAATAGAAAAAGATTCACGACTTGTGAATTGTCAAAAAATGTTTCAACACTTTTTAATTATTTAATTTATTAAAATTCTTATAAAAGTTGCAACAAAAAATGCTAAAGTTTTAAATTTTTTTGCAATTTTTTTCTTTTTTAAAGTTTTATTTAGATTCTTATACTTTTTAAAAAAAAAATTATTAATTTTTAATTTTAATTTTATGTAATTTTAGTTAATAAATGTATTTTTTGCTGTTTTTAGGACTAATGGGGTTAAAATTTGTTCTAAAATCTAGTTATTTATGGTACTATTGTTATGATTTACGTTTGAAAATTACAAAATCAATGGATCAATTTAGTCGCCAGACCATTAGGGATATAACAGTATGCTTAAAAGACAAAGAACCACTTAGTGTATTAGTCAAGTAAGAGTATTTTTAGATGAAATTTTAAAAATTTGAAAGATTATAATTTAAACAATCTTGTCATTTTGATAGATATGTCATTTTATAATTGTTGTCATTTTCATAATTATTATTGTGTACTGTTAGTACACTGATTGTTAATGGCATTCAATAATGGTTCCGGTTTGAATAAAATTAACTATAAAGGAAGTTTTAATTACTAATTTTTTTAAAGTTTTTATTACTTTTTTGAATTATGCGATTATTAATTTAAATTTAAAAAAGTGCCAAAGTTCCACAAAATCTTTATAGGCTACACCTAAAAAAGCTTTTTCAAATAACAAACATGGCAATCAAAAATCTTTTTTATATTTTAAGATTATACTTTAGTGTAGAGGTAGTTCTTCTTTTACTTTAATTACACCTAAACTGTTTGACTTTAATTATACTTTGACTTTAATTATACGTTTGACATTGATTATACTAGACTGTTTGGCATTGATCATACTAGACTGTTTGGCATTGATTATACTAGACTCTGGCATTGGTTATATTGGATTTGATTATTGTCAATATTAGTCTTTTTAAAGTTTAAATTTGGATTTATTAGACCACAGAACTTTCTTTAAAAATGTTACTGATATTACATTGTACTTTTATTTGTAAGTTTTAATTGTGATATTACATTGTACTTTTATTTGTAAGTTTTAATTGTAAGTTATTAATTCACTGAACCCTGCTTAAAGAATGCAATTTGTAATTGGCGTTTGTGAAATAGTTTTTCTATTGGTGTTAAAAATTCTAAAAATATAAGTTGAATAATAAAACAGATATTTTATTTGTTTTATTTATCTGTTTTATATTTATTATTATTAAATATATTTAAAAACTGAAAAAATCAAAAAAATTATTTTTCTAACAAATATTAAATTAAACAGTTTTGTATAACTTATTGCATCCCATTTTATGAAAAAAAATTAATAACAAACACATTTTTTTGATTTGTACTTAAAAATTTTAAATAGCCATAATAAATTGATAAAGTTTTTGTTTCAGTTTTTTTTTTATTATTAATCAAGTTAAAATTTTATTCTGACTATATATTTGCTGTACTTTATATGATATATATTTCTTTATGATATATGCACTTTATCTATACTAAAAATTTAATTATGCATTATAAAAATATTAATTATGTATACATTTAAAGTTATAAATTTATATATATTATGAATGAATAATTTTTGTATTTGTAATACATTTTGACACAGCTTAGACCTTATGTTTTTTCATTGCAATTCTAATCATACTCTATTATGAGATTTTATTAATATTTGAAACTAAAGTTGTACAGGTGCGAGTTCAATTTCAAATGTTTTAATTTTTTTTCTAGGTGTGAACAAAATTGTGATGCCTTGATTGACCCAAATTCAAAACTTTCTTTAAGTTCATCAGTCTCCAACAAAGCAAAGTGTTCACAAATCAGTTATAATTGGATGGTTTTGCGCACCTCTTTAATGGAAGATAATTCTAACTATGAAGATATTACAGAAACAATTAATGCAACAACAGGTTTTGTCATGCGCAACCTTGTCATTAAAGCTAATAGTTTAAATTCAGGTGTTTAAACTTTTGTTAAAAAACTTTTGTTTTATTCTAATAAACTTTTTATTTTTATTTACAAAAAAATAAAAGTTCTTATTATAAACAAATAATAGATATTTATCACCATTATGACCTAAATGCTCTCACAAATAGTGAGTATTTGTTAACAATATGATCTAAATGGTTTTGCAAATAAATTAAAATACTTTTATATTTAAACTTTTTTTATAATTACAACTTTAAAAACAAATCAAAAAATACATTATTTAAACAAAACAAATGTTTTATTTAATTTTTATGGGCTCTATTTACTTTATCTGTTATATTTAATATAAGTTATACATTTTTTTGATTTTTAATATTTTTTATATTATATTTGAAATGCTTAATAATATATTTAATGATTTTTATTTTTATTTTTCATTTTTGCAGCATTATAAGTTTTTCATTAAATAGAAAAAAATTTCTTTAAGCCTACAAATACAAGTTTCGCGTGAATGCATCATGTTTAAGTGGTGAACTGTCAGGTGTTTCTGGAGCAGGTGCAGAAATTGTTTATGTAAACAAACCTCCAGATGTGTCACAAGCAACCTGTAAAGTTTTTCCAGATACAGGTGTTGCAGTTCAGACAGATTTTGTAATTGTATGTACTGGAGTAACAGATGATCAAATGCCACTTTCCTATGCTTATCAATACAATTGTAATGACACTTGGTCTATGATAAGTACAGCTCGAACAAGTTTGTTGTTTCTTTATTAAATTTTTTTTTTTCAAATATTTTGGTGATTTCTTTTTGGTGATAGTTAGTTAAGTTAGTTAAGTAGTTGTGTATTAATCTATTTTTTATTTTTTTTCAGTTTCTAATTTAACATTCAAACTCCCCCCTAGTAAAAGAACAAATGGTAGTTGCTCTTTACGTGTATTAGCACGAGATAGCTATGGAGTTCTATCAGATCCATTTCCAATGACACCTTTAGAAGTTCAGGTAGGTTATAAATTAAAACATTTAATAGTTATTTTTAATTTTTTACGTTTCTGATTGTTTTAATGTCAGCTGTTATTGGTCAAATCTACACTGCATTAAGGAAAAAGAATTTTCTTAGGGAAAATTTTAAAAACTTTTTCAAATGATTTAAGTATTTTACATTTTAATTTTCTTTTAAATATATATTTTTTGACAAGTTTTTCCAACCATTTTGAGCATCTTGTTTTTTTCGAAATCTTCTGAAACATCTGTCTGACACTGCACAGTAGCACAGTGTATCGCTTCATACAAGCTAGGTGGACAAAAATATTTTGTTTTATAACTTCATTTCTAAGAATGTAGTTAACAATATTTTGGTGTTTTATTGACTAGTTATGAAGTATGGTAACCTGGGGGAGGCAGGGGGCAATTACACCGCGCGTTTAAGCTTAAAGGAGCGCCAAAAAGTCAATTTTATTTATTTTAAAAAGTTGTGAGTATATTTTTATATTTTAAAAAGTCAATTTTAAAATATAAAAATATACTCACTACACTACGTAAAATAAAAAAATACTTTAATAATAATTAATTATTATCGGATGAATAATTGTAATTTTCACTACCCATGAATCAGATTCTAAATAATCTTCATCATCACACATAATTCTATTTTCAACAAGCTGTGGTGGTATTATAGGTGGGATAATTAAATTCAAAACTTCCAATGGTAGTTTACCAGTTTTCTTACTTGACAATTTTCTGTGTGAGTTGATGACAGGATCTGATGTTACTAAAAGCATATTGAGCAAATCTATATTTGTGCAAATACGTGAATTTTTTCTTGTATATATAGTTGTCCTATAGGAAGAAGACATGTTTTTATAACTTCCCTGCTATGTGCAAGTATTTTGTGCACAGTAACAGGCATATAGTACCACGGATACAGATTAATATAAAGAGTTTTGGTTTCAGAACAAAGCTTTTCAAATTCATAATAGTTAATATCATAGCCAGAGGAAAGTGTTATTAATAAAATACTGAAATTTTTAATGAGATTGATGTCTAAACCCGTAATCTCACCACTCAACTCTGGCTTTATAAAAACCTGCGAGCTGTGTTCCCATAATTTGTATTTCCAAAGTCAGGTTTTGGTTTATCTACAATAAGGCCCATATGCTTTTTATTTTTTTTTAATATCTTCTGAAAGTTTTTGGACACTAGATTTATCTTCATTGCTTCTAACTTGCCACTTTTTTATATCTAAACCATAGCTAATGTGTAGCATGCACTCAAAAAAACAAATCCATGCATGCAAGTAGACAGACCAAAATCATAATGTTCTTTTTTAACAACTAAGTCTTTTAGTTCACCGTTCATCATTTTAGGAGTCGCACCACATATGTAACATTTTTGTTGAGAACTTGTGTCAATCAAGGCATTGCAAACTTTTCCATCTATCATTGATAGTATTAGGTTGTGTTTAACAGTAATTTGAGATTCGTTGAGTCTTATAGATGTTGGAGCAAGTTGAGAAACTTCTTTTAAAACTCGGCAATAAAGCGTGGATGAAGGTCGTGGATTTTGCTAAATAATATTTTGACTGTCACTCAGTCTAAATGGAACAAATGAAAATACAAACAGAAACTCATAAGTAGCATCAGAGTTTTTAAATCTCTGTTGGTATGTGCTGTGACCAGAGCTTCCATCACATCCCCATTTGCTAATTAGTGTGAATGGTGTAGTAAAAGTAATACTTTTAAGAACATCATATTGGGCTTCAATTAGGTGTTCAGTAGTTTTATCAAGTATAGCTTGTAGGCACGTATTTTTGTAACAGAAATATATTCATCTAATGGATAACATAATTTTTTCGACTTGCATAGACTATAATAAGATGGAAATAATATATGCCCTGCCTTTAAAGACCAAATTCTCGTCTGTTTATAAGAATGAATTGTACATTTAGAGTCGATGTAATAAGCTAATGCCTTGTCACGATTTAACTGCCTGCCACCACAAATAAAGTCTTTTGATCTAATTTTTTCTGATGATTCCAGACTTTTTCTGATTAAAGTAGCTTGGTTTCTGTGTCCCATCACACAGCATGCTATTTCAGCAGCTGTCGTCAACTCAGCACTTTGTGGTTTTACTAAGTTTTCAACCCTTCGTATTTTGGTTTTAAAGGACGAGTCTTCAAAGTTTTTTTTTTGCCATCCTTGAATTTCTCCAGGTGATGAAAAAGTACATTGCTGGTATGTACTTAATTTAAATTCTACATTTGCCTCCTCTAACCAAACTTTATTTTTGTTTAAAAAGCAGTCCATTATTATATGTGCTGCAGACCATTTTATTGCCAATTTTGAAGCCATACATAAATTTTTTAACTGCAAGACCTCTCAGAATCTCTAGTCACATCAGTTACATCAGTAACATCAAGTCTTTGCAAAATAAAATCCTATAAACAAGAATTTCTTTCTTCTTGAATATGTTTTCGCCATTCTTCAAATAACTCCTTTTTTGAAAAAGAGCGCACATGATCTAAATTAAATTCAATAATAAAAAATTGTGGATTTATGTGGTGAAAATATTTTCTTTGTTGTACACCTTAGGACTTTAGCTATACACTGTTAATAAATTAGCTTGGATACATGTGGATACAAAATGTTGTATAAATTTAAAAATTAAAAACCAAAAAATATTTTACAATTTTAACGCAGTTTTTAAACCATATTTTAACACATATTGCTTCACTTTTGAATAATATATTTAATATAATTAAATAGTACCCTCAAAAGTAAGCTGCATTAAAATGATTGCTTTCTTTAATTCTTCCTTAATGTTTGTAAATTTTTAAGTAATTTTTTTCAAAAATGAAATTAAATTTTAACGCCTTTTTAATTGCTTATGACTCATTGCTCTGGAGTGTTTTTCATAATTAACACCGCAAGTTATTACTAATGTAGGACTGTTATTGTGAAAATATTATCAATAAGTTGATTTCTTGATATGACTTTTGTCCACCTAGCTTGTATGAAGCAATACACTGTGAGTGGGCCAGAGATCGGTATAAATGCAAAAAATGAGTATTTGTGGAAACTTTTTTGAAAATTTTAAAAGTAAATACCACAATAAAAAAATCTGTCGTTTAAATATTTTATTTTTTGTTTTGATAGCCTTGGAAAGTTTTCAAGCTTGTTCATTTAAAAAATATTTTTTTTTAAAAAAAAATGAAAAAATACACATAAAATTGAATTTCACCTTGTAAGCGCAGTTTTCTTTCATTTAATTAATTTTATAATCTCAATATCAGTGTTTAGAAAACTTAACAAATGAAAATATTCTTGTATTTTATAACTTTTTTCTTAACTTTAAATGTGACAGTTAAAATATTACAAAATATAATTAAAAGTTACCATAAAAGGCTCATAATCATTTTTTGCCCACGTTTCCCCACTATGGAAATAATTTTTTTACACTGTCTTAATATTGTAGAAAGTTTCTCATTAAATATATCTAGCGCAACACTGAGCAAATTAAAGTTTAGCAAGTTGTAAACATACAACTCGTTTATCATTTTTAAATTGTTCAAAGCACATTGTAGCTAAGTATGAGTTCTAAATAGTTAATTGCAATTATGAAAACTAAAAGAGAAAATGAAACTTAATGCTATTCCACTTTGTTAAGTAATATGGTTTTTTGTCTATAAAACTTAAACATATTTCAGTAAATTATCAATTATGTTTTTAATTATCTAAAGTATGAATACTATTTAAAAGCTATGTTTATATTTTAAATTGAAATTTTCTTCTACCAATCATTATGTAAAATAAAGAAATTACTCGAAAATTGTTTCATGCTTTGGAAAACAACTTAATCAAATTAGTTACTGACTTTGATGCCTATAAAGTTACAGCAGATAAACGAACATTGCTGTTGAAAGTGAGGAATTATTTTACTTACTTATTTTGAATCTAAAAGAGGAAAAAAGTTTCAGCTATGATAAGGTACATTATTATCTATACTATAGTCATTTTTAATTTATCTTATTTATTTAAAAAAAATCTCCCAAATACTATTGGTGATAAATTTTCTTAGTGGATTGTATTCATCTCACTCTTCAAATTTACATTTTTACACTTAAGGTTGTGAAGCAAATATTAAAATCAGAGAAAGATGGTGCAGTTTTTCAACAACAATGTATACTGGAGAGAAATTGACTTTGATTTTGGACTACTGACCTAGCAAAGCACATTACCAAACAATTCGCATTGGAGCAGTTTCTAAAGGAAACAAA